CTGAAATGTTGATCTCTTGTCCCATATTCATCTTTTGATGTCAAACCCAAATATTTTCAGTCTACAACAAAAATAAAGGAATTGGCCTCACTGTTCCAATACTTTTGGAGGGCACTGTAGCTATATAGATATATAGATATATTCACCATTTGCTGGGAACAAGGAGCGCTAACTCTAGCTTTCACCAGCAAAGGCTTGTCAAAAGGCAAAAGCACTACTTGCAAAAAACAATACAGTTAACTGGAGCATAGACACTAGTGTTAACCAAAAAACAAAACAATGCTTCCCTCCAACAGCGTCAGCTTATCCACTAAAAAGAAAAAACAGATAACTAATCATAGCCCTGATGCTGTAGGTAACAAAATGAGACCATTCTTTCTTTCTTTCGTGTATCATCAGATGGCCAACTCCACGTCGTGCAACCACACCCTCGTCTCCGGTCCCAAGTCGAAGAGGTCAGATTCTGAGGGTGGGCTGTATAGGGGGCAGCTGGTGATTATGTGCTCGGCATTCTGTTCAGACTTGCCACACTCGCATGCCGCACTGTCCAAAAGGCCCCACTTCTTCAGAGATGACTTGAAGCGGCCGACCCCAGTGCGTAGACGGTTCAGCGAGGTCCATGGATGGCGAGGTAGGTCCTCTCCTTTTACACCGCCACCTGGGTCCTGGATGTATCAGTGGAAGCAGGAGGGCCCAGCTGTCTCCCAAGTCTGTTTCCAGGATGCTGCCAGCCAGGCGTCTATGGACAAGTCCTCAGGAATAGACTGTAGCAGCTTAGAACCTTATATCCATCTCCACTTTCACCGCCACCTGAGAGGATTTGATCTGCACATCATGGTAGCATGCAGGAGACATGAGAGCCTGCAAGTAGAGATTTAGTCCGTAAAAGTGCCTGACATGTTCTGTTTAAGTTGAGAAGAACACGATTAATAAAGTTTCATAAAGGTCACTATAAGCTACTAAAAGTATCATACTGAAGGTGACTTTTTTTTACAGCAAAACTCGAGGCTTCAAAGCATCAGTCCACAAATCAATGGCTTATGTCACAGTAATGACATCTATTATTTTATAGTCTATGAATGTGTCACATTTGATAGATGAGACTGTTACAGCCACACAACACCAAAGCTATCAGTGATGACACGTAATGATGAAGTCCACTATAGTGTAAAGTAGCCCGTGTCTTTTGTATAGGGAAAAGTGAATGAGTGAGAGTGTGACTTTGGAAACAGCCTCCAAACTCTTTAAAGGAGAACCTGTTCTACAGAACGTGATGCACTTCAAAAGTCAAGTCAGTTTTGGGGCTCAGAAACATCAAACCAACTTCAGAGAACTACGGGCGATGAAGGTCCATCACCTAACATCACCATGCCAAAAAGTTGCACATGAGCACACCACAAAGACTACAGCAGATGGCCAACTGGCATGTACAGTCTGCGCCTGTATGAGAAGAAATAACTATCTATACCAATAGATTGTGGTAGCCTGTATTTGTCATTCAAAAAGGGTAACTGTCTCGATGTTAGTTAGCCAGTTAGCACAATGCAATGTTGAAAGAGCAGAGCATATTTCTAACACAAATCATCAGGAATCGTTTCTGCTGAAGAGCTCAACGACTATTGAAAAATAATCTGACTTTATGGAACAAGTTTGTTTTGGTCTCGCTCCCTCTGGACATTAGGGGTGGGGGAAAAAATCGATTTTTAGATGCATCGAGATTCTGTCTTGAGCGATGTGAGCATCGATGTGGGAAACTCATAATCGATTTTAATTTTATTTTTATATTTATTTTTCAAATTGCCGTAACTCCTCGACCATTCACGCTATCGACGTAATTTGGATTACGGATTCTGAAAGCTGAGAAGCGGAGCTTTCCAGTGATATACATTACAGTAGAGATGTCATTACCTGTGGAGGAGGGGAGGGAAGTGAGCACAGCAGGAGGAGAGTGACAGCTGATGAGAGTGCAAGATGGAGTGATTTAGTGGTGTTTTAGCAGAGTTTTGGTTAGTTTTAGTGGCGTTTGGGTGGCGTTTTCTTTGTAAGTAATATTTAGTGTTGTAAATAATAGTATTTGTGGTTTTTTCATAGCTTCTGAGTTTTTTTATGCCATGTTTTTGAGTGTTTTTGCCGTGTTTTCGTCGTGTTTTCACCATAGTTAGTAGTTTTGCCATCTTTCATCTTTTTTGCAATAGTCCGTGTTTTTATAGTTCATAGATAGTTATAGTCAGTTATAGTTTTGTAAATACTGGAGGAGAAATGTCGAGGAGGCCGACAAGGGACAGGAGAGTCCCGTTGAGATTTGTGGATGAGGAGGATGGACCGGATGAGACTGGTGGAGTGTAGTCATCTCAACCACAGTAAGTAATAGCGTTTGTATGCACTGGATATGTATTCCCAGTTTTATTACAATAATTTTTTTCAATATCTAGTGTAAATTTTCTTATTGGCTCGTTTTAGAATCCAGAATCGTTTTATAATCGAAATCGTTGCCCTCAGAATCGGAACTGAATCGAATTGTGAGGTGCCTAGAGATTCCCACCCCTACTGGACATCAGTTGTTTGATGCCTTTCGCTACTTGTGCGCTGAGCTGAACTGCTAATCAGAGTGACTTCTCTCACTGATGGGCTCCACAGTCACCAGTGCCAATTCAGCATGCTGTATCAGTGGAAAAAAAGCCGACTTCTGCTGACTAGGGCCAACGGTGCAGGACACACCACAGCGATGAAGACCACAAATGCTATCTGATGGCCCAACGTTGACCAACTGCCGACTGTCAGCTTAGTGTGTAAGGGTCTTAAGACACAAAAATGAAAAGCATAATAGGTCCTCTTTAAAGTAAAGGTAAAGTTCCACTGATTGTCACACACCTGAGTGTGTGAAATTTGTTCTCCGCATTTGACCCATCCCCTGAGGGAGTGGTGAGCAGCAGCGGTGCCGCGCTCGGGAATCATGTGGTGATCTAACCCCCCAATTCCAACCCCTGATGCTGAGTGCCAAGCAGGGAGGCAATGGGTCCCATTTTTATAGTCTTTGGTATGACCCGGCCGGGGATCTAACCCACGACCTCCCAGTCTCAGGGCGGACACTCTACCACAAGGCCACTGAGCTGGTTTAAAAGTGGAACTTGCTGGAAAATGTATTTTTATTGTTTAATATCAGAGCCATATACTGAATAGCAGCAATTTAATAAAGTCCTACATCTGTGAGGCTTCTAATTTTTTTGTTATTGTTTACTGTTTTCAATTTCATTTGATGGCACCTTCAGAGGCCACAGTTAGTGCTGATGCTGAAGTGGACTGCAAAAGTTACAAACGACCTTTTACTCGCCTCTGATTCCGGCTCCTTCACCATTCTCCTCCTCTTCGACCTCAGTGCTGCCTTCGACACCATCAATCACTCCATCCTCCTCAGCTGTCTGAAATCCATTGGCATCATTGACTCCGCCCTCTCCTGGTTCACCTCCTACCTGTCTGAAAGATTCCACTACATCTCCATCAACAACCACAAATCCCACACCACCCCTGTCTCACACGGAATCCCTCAAGGCTCAGTGCTTGGCCCGATCCTCTTCATTCTCTACATGCTCCCACTAGGTCACATCATCTGCCGCCATGGTCTTCACTTTCACTGTTATGCCGATGATACCCAGCTTTACATCACCACCAAAGCCATTACTCCTGCCATTCTCTCTACCCTCACCGACTGTCTCACCGACATCAAAACCTGGATGAACCACAACTTCCTAAAACTCAACAGCAATAAAATGGAAATTATCATCTTTGGCCCAAAATCCATCCTCCCCACCTCCCAGGACTTCTCACTCTGCATCGATGGTCACTCTGTCACTCCCTCCCCCCTGGTCAAAAACCTCGGCATCATCATGGACCCCACACTCTCCTTCAAATCACACATCAACCACGTCACCAAAACATCTTTCTTCCACCTCCGAACATTGCACACCTTTGCCCCCTCAGCCACCGAAACACTCATCCACGCCTTCATCACCTCCAGACTCGACTATTGCAATAGCATCCTGTATGGCCTCCTCACCACTGTTCATCAAAAACTGCAATATGTTCAAAACTCGGCTGCCCGATTGCTCACTCACTCCCCCTCCAGAGAACACATCACTCCCATCCTCCGTCAACTTCACTGGCTTCCCATAAAACAACGCATCAACTTCAAGATCCTCCTCACCACCTACAAAGCCCTAAACAACCTTGCACCCTCATACCTGACCGATCTCCTCCATCGCCATTCCCCCACTTGCCGCCTCCGCTCCGCCGATGCCAACCTTCTCACCCCCACCACCAAGACCAAGTACCGCACCCTGGGGGACAGAGCATTCTCCATCGCCGCCCCTACTCTCTTGAACTCCCTGCCCCTGGCCATCCGGAACTCTGATACACTCCCCTGATTCAAGAGTCAGCTTAAATCCCATCTCTTCAGGATCACCTACAGCATCTGAAAATCCTCCCTCGTCATCCTCCACCCGCTCTTTCTCTCAATATGTTGTCCCTTTGTTATAGTGTTGTTTACCTGCCTTTTGTTTGAGTGTCCTTTGTTTGAGTGTTTTGTTTGAGTGCCTGTTTCTGTGCGTATTCTTTTGTAAAGCGTCTTTGAGTACCTAGAAAAGCGCTATATAAAACCGATTCATTATTATTATTATTATTATTATTATTATTGTTGTTAATAAAGTCAGTGGTGTTTCTAATAATTTGTCCAAACCCTCTCTGTCATTAGAGGTGAATGTAAAACACTTTGCAGGAGGTGTTGAATTTCATCAATAGTTGAAAAAAAAGGCTAAGTATGCAAAGCATCTTCAATTTTGATATTCTCTGTAAGTGGGTGTGGACAAAACCGTCACTAGTTGGCATGTGTGTTGACTTTCACAGTGACTGATTCCAATCAAAATGCTCCAGGGCTTGACAACAAATACATTAAAATTAGAAACGTACTTATTACTCATGCTGTTCTTGGTCTCATTGTTTTGCAGATGAAGAGGCTCCGTGGGTGGTAGCTGTTGGGATGTTTGTCGCTATGGTAGCGGGGGTGGCTCTGGTGGTGGTTGCAGTGGTGTATCGGAAAAAATGTCTTCATCCAAAATATGTGCTGCCTCAGCACTTTGAAGAGGTTTGTATGTTTATATGTCTGCATGGATTTGTGTGTACAGGGTTGTCTGTAATGTTTAATTCATCATCATACCCTGTCAGGTCTTGGTGTGTGTGGCAAGCAACAAAATGAGATCTACTTGCATGTCCATAAAACTGAAATAAGGATTTCCATTGTATGCATGTGTGCAGCAAGAGTCATGGAAGTGTTTTCCCTTCTATTAGAGTCTTTACCCAGGTATTTACCAAAAACCTCAATCACTTTCCTTTCTGCCCCCTAGTACCTACTGGCACCCCCCAACTCGTCACTGTACTTAATCATGCAGAACTCCCATCCACCAGAGGAGATCTACGACCAGGTCAGCATCATTGCAGACAACAGGACTCTGGAAGAAGGGCGCCCACTGGAGGCAGCAGGGAGTAGCTGCAGCCAACAGCCTGACACCACAGCAGGGGAGAGATAGAACGAAGAGGGACAGGCTGAAAAACGCAGAGGCCATGGAGAAGAGTTGATTTGCAGGCTTCAGTTAGATGGGACTGTTAGACATCATCAGCAGGAATGACTTTAAAGATAACGAGAAACAGTGAACTATTGATTCTTGCTTGAGTTTTAATGCAACAAATTCTGCAACAGTCCCGCATTACTCCTCGGTGCGGACGTTACTGTTAGGGGTGGGTGATGCCACAAAATTTGGTTTTGAGCCAATACCAAGTAATTCAGGGCCAGAATCGCTGATATCAATATCGATACCAATATCGATAGGATACATAAATAAAAGTGGCTTACGTACTTTCATTAAGGGTAAAGCAGTGTGTCGTGATTTATGAGGTGAATAATCAGTCTGCTAAAGTAATAGCTAATGATGACCAAATACAGTTTGAAAACATGAACCAGTGCTGAAGATCTGATTTAACTAGACCATTAATTTCACTTTGATATGGCCTACCTGGATACTCCTGTCTGACGCCTCAGATCCACTGGCGTCACAGAGATTCGTTGCCGGACGCGACGCCTACCCTGAAAAGGACGCTTTGGAGGCAGAGCCCAGAAATATGCGGAAATACAGATGGACGCGGCTACTATAGGAAAGCTCTCACCACTGCTACGATTAGCTTATCTTCCATTGCCATGTTGTTCCATAGAGGGAAAGTAAATGAAACGTCACGACAGACCACCACCGAGCTTGCTCCCCATTGGATAGTGTCCTCGCGTCTGACGGGTTAATTTGCATAAAGTTGAGTCGCGGTCAACTTTTGGGTGCGCTGGAGCTGCTCAAACGGCCGCGACGCCTACCCAAAATGCTTTGCAGGGACGTCAGCAATGGTTTGACGCGATCCATAGGAAATGAATAGGCATAAGCATCACGGCGGACACATAAAACGCCAGTGGATCCCAGGCGTGAGCCTCTGTGAACAGACTCTGCCAGTGAACTCTGTCTCTGTGTCAGAGGTCTAGATGTTGAGGCATTTCCCTCCTCCTCCCTTCTTTTAAGTTAGAGCTCCAGAGTAACTCAAGAATACATACACTAATTATGAAAAAACTTAAAAAAATGTTTAATAGGATATAATGATGAAGTAATTGCATTTTATATCCAAAAGGTCAAAGGTGAACTTTACTGTGCCATCATAAAGTTCTGCAAAAAACCTTATCTGGCCATTACTTCATACTACTACTACTACTACATCATATGTCAGAACAGAAGAGAAGACATATGGTCAGATACTGTATTGGTGACACTTATCTTGAAATTGTGCTATTTGTATAGATCTTCTGTGCTGTTGGGGGGAAGATGTGTGTGAAGCATCCATGTTTTCACAGAAACTTGATTAGTTTGCAGAGGTATACAACTGCAAGATGGTAATTCTGGTTTTCCTAAAACTAGTTACGGTGCACAATGCTGTGTGCTTCGCATGTGCAATGCATATGTTGTTTGAGACAACACAAAAGCACTAGATGTGTTCACAACAACGGAACATTGTATTTCAAGAGTCAAACTGTCTGTGCAAACAAATTGATAAGATATAGAAGAGAGAAACTAATCACTGTTTTGGTATTGATTCTATTGATTGCTAGGCTCAGTCTTTTATATGAAAGCATAATATCTATAGTATTGATATTTTTGATATTTTAAGTGATCATATGGTAGAGCCAAAGAGACATGTAGGTACAGGATTCTGCACTTAACAGAAGGAGTGTGGCATGGCCCACTGGAGCTGTCCACACTGAGGTATTTATACAGCCATGGTGCTAAGAGTTAAGTGTATGAGTGTGTATTATCAAAGTATGGATGTGGACTTAAATAAACAGCATAGTCTGCTATTCAATGCAATAATGGAAAGCTGCAGTACCAGAAGCTGCAGTCTCAGGACCGCAGTTTCAGGACCGCAGTTCTAGGGCCCTTCAGTTTTCGTCACAGCACCACCTACCGAGCGGAGGCTGCAATAATGGAGGCTGCAGTTTGAGGACCGCAGTTTTAGGACCGTTTAATTTGCCGAGCAGAGGCTGCAATTACCTTTATTTTATTTTTACTTTTTGTTGTACCCAAATACTACTTTTTTATTAAATAGTTATAATCAGTGTTGAGCAGTAACTCGTTATTTAGTAACACATTACTGTAATTTGATTATCAAAAATAGGAGAAATTAATTAGTAATAGTAGGCCTAATTAGATTATAGTTACAAGCCCAGGTTCATTACCATTGCCAGTAACGCAGTGTTGGCCCGCCCCGCCTGACCTCCGTGGTCTTCTCTGCTCCTCTCACCCACACTTAAACACCCATCCTGGGCTACACAGTGTCGGGACGCTCCACTGTGCTGCTAGAGTTTGTTCTGTGTTGTTTATTATTATTTATTTTTTGAGGGAATGGAGTAACTAGTAATGTAACTGATTACTTGTGAAATAAGTAAACAGATCAGAACTGTGATTACTTTTTGAAGGAGTAAAAAGTAATTTAATTACTCTTAAATAAATCTGAGCTGACTGACTCCTCACCAGATATTAAAGATTACAAAAACATAAAACACAAGGATTACTGTGGGGACAGATTAAAAATATTAAACTGAACATGTATAAATATATAAAAATGTACAAAAAACAATCAATAAGAAATAAAAAGTCAGAGAGACAAGTTTATTTTTCTTCCCATTTTTAATGGAAATTCAATTCCTCGATCTTCCTTCTCTTTGCAAGCTTCTGTATGAAGTCTTCCACTTCACTAAATTGGTAACAGAGAACACAATGATTGCCAAGTTGATATTTTACTTCAAATTGCATTTGAAAATGTAATTATCCACCCTTACCTTTAATCATAAACTGGACCAGACAGATAGGCCTGGTCAGCCTCCTGTGAGGATAGCCCCTTGAGCTCAGTCAGTCCATATATGAGTGCCTACCGCCAGAATATACACACACATTATACTTAACTCCTCAAAAAAGGTTTGGAAATGTTATTTCAGTCAATTACTTCTCCCCTTTAATTATACCAAGTGGTGTTGTATTTTATATTGTTGGAAAGCCTGATTAGTCATCTTTACAACGAGGTACAACTTGTAAGGATCATGCATTAGTGGAATGAGCAACACATCTAAACATGTGGGTAACGCCCCAAAACAATGTGCCAAAATCCCCTGCAACATTCTCCTGTTGGTATTCACACTTGTTCGGAGCTTCAAGTGCTGCTAGGTGTGTGTCAGTCACAGGTGTATGGCACCCGATTGGAGTCCAAACCTCAACCAAATTGAACACTTGTGGGATCAGCTGGTTGACCTTCAACAACTCCTGGTTGAGGAATGGGATGCCACCCCACAGCGAAATGTGACCAGCATGAGGAGGAGGTGCCAAGCTGTTGTGGCTGCGTATGGCTCTTCCACACTCTACTGAGGTCCCTGACAGTGTCAAATGAATAAACTGTAAAAATGGCCAATATGTGTTGTTGTTTTTTTTTAATGTTTTTTTCTTATTACCGT